TCAGGCAGCCAATTGGGTATATCAATCATCCTCTTCCAGCAATTCTTCCTATTGAATGTCCGGCCACTTGGGCATGGTGTGGGAGGAGCCAGGCCTGGGTTTTCCCAATGGCCACCCAGTATCTATTGTTATTGTGTTCACAGGCCTGGGGATCTCCGTGGTAACAGTCTTTTGGAGGGGTTTCGTTAGAATTTAAAACTCTTCTTAGGAAGAGTTTGGCTACAGTTTGTGGGACAGGATGGTACAGGGTTTAACCTGCCCTGCACTACACTTTGAAAGAGAGTTAGCAGGTATAAGGCCAGTAGACATAGGTCTAAAAAGGGTGTGGCTGTACTGTGTTGCCGTGGGTTCCTAGATCCTATCGGGAGGCCCTTCTTATGTATGTTCTTCTCCTCTGGAACAGGAGGGAAGGTGGTGCATGACTGTGGAAAACGGAGCTTGAGAGGGTTATCTGGGGATATCTCACAGGTAAATCTGGGCGATTGTGGGGGTCCTGCAAGGTTGGGAGCTGTAGTGGGATTGTCCTCTGGAGGGCTTGCCGCTGGTTTTAACCTAGAAATATGAATCCAGGGGGTTAGTTTCTTTCCTTCCTGTTGGAGTTTTGCAGCATTGGGTGTACACAGGACTACCTGTAATGGCCCTTCCCATTTTGGGGTTAGGGAGGATCTTTCCCCTGGGGAAGAAAAGTAGACCCATTCTCCTGGCTTGAGCAGAAAGTAGGCAGCTGAGATCTCTGGATCCAAAAGCAACAAATCTTGTTGCTTCCATAGCTCAGAGTGTATACGGAAGAGGAGGGGAAAAGCATATTGGTAGGGTAGGGGCCAAGGCTCTGGTGAGATTCCCAGGGGGAGAAGGGGAAGACCATTCATTATCTCAAAGGGGAGGCAAGGGATGGCTTTAGTAGGGCAAGAGGGAGGAGTTGAACCCAATCTAAATGAGTCTCTAAAGATAGTTTTGTTATGATGTCTTTCATTGTGTGGTTGGTTCGATCAACCTTACCTGAGGTTTGGGGGCGATAGGGACAATGAAAGTGCCATGGGATGGACAATGTCTTTGCCACATCCTGGGTTACTTGAGAGACAAACTCAGGCCCATTGTCAGATTGGATTGAAGTGGGCATCCCAAACTGAGGGATTATTTCGGTTAGGACGATGTTAGCCACCATGGTAGCTGGCTTATTTGAGGTGGGAAAGGTCTCTACCCAACCCAAGAATGTGTCTAATATTAAAACTAGTTTGTATGTCAAGTTTTTTACTCTGGGCATTTTGGTAAAGTCGATTTGCCAATCTGCCCTGGGTATATGGCCCCTAGCCTGATGACAAGGGAAGGTTCTTGGTTTTAAAGATGTATTGGGATTCACTGTTTTGCATATCTGGCATGAGGCTGTGATTTGCTGTATCACTTCTTTATCCTGGGGAGTCAGAGTAAAGAAAGAGTGGAGAAAGGCTTTGAGAGTCTGCGGACTGGTGTGGAAAATGGAGTGGAGGTAAGTAAAGAGGGCGTGTTTTGATGGGTCTCTGCTATTGGGTAATGTTGGAGAGCATGTGGCGATGAGAGATCCGGTGGGGTCTGAAAGGGCGGCTGTCCTGGGTGCCTGATCTGCTTTTGAATTCCCCTGTGTGACGGGGGAGGAGTCATTTTGGTGTGATCTGCAATGGACAACTCCAAGTTTTTAGGAAGCTGGGAGGCTTGTAGTAGCTGGGTGATGGATGTGGAGTTGGTTATAGAGGTTCCCTTTGAGTTCAGGAGACCTCTCTCCTTCCAAATTGCTGCATGAGATAAGAGAATGTGGAAAACATTTGGAATCAGTATAAAGTGTAAGATTTTTCCCCACTGCCAATTCACAGGCTGAGTTGTAGCTACCAGCTCAGCCTGTTGGTTGGTGGTATTTGCAGGCAGGGGATTGGCTTCTATTACTCATGATAGGGACACTATGGCATATCCAGCTTTTCTGATCCCCTCATGCATAAAGGAGCTGCCATTAGTGAACCAGGTGTAATCAGATTGGTCTAGAGGTCCCTCAGTGATATTAGTTGGGCATGGGAGGAAGTTTTCTAGAATTTCCCTGCACTTATGTGTTGGGGACTGTGTTTGACCTTGAGCCTGAATGGGTAACAGAGTTGCCAGGTTGAGAGGGGCGCAGGTTTGGAAGGTCACAGAAGAGTCTAGAGGAAAGAGACCAAGAGAGAAAGAATTCGACAGGGAGGGAGTGTTTGCAGTCCTTTGTACATTAGCAAGTCCTCAAGGTGATGAGGAGAAGTGACAGTGATTTGAGCTCCAAAGGTAAGCTTTTGCGATTCTTTTAATAAAACATAGGAGGTCGTTAGGGCACGGAGACAAGGAGCCCATCCCAGGACAGTTGGATCTAACTGTTTTGAGAGTTATGCCACCGGAGAGAAGGTGGGCCCATACATTTGTCCCAGCACCCCCAAGCCCTGCCCTTTGTTTTCATGGACATAGAGAGTAAAAGGCCTATTAACATCTGGCAGGTGTAGGGCCAGTGCTTGTAAGAGGGCCTTCTGGAGGGTTCTGAAATGTGGTGCAGCTGAAAGTAACAAGGGCTCATGCTTGTCCCCCTTTGCTAGATCATATAATGGTCTTGCAAGTAAAGAGTAATTTGGTACCCATGCCCTAAAATAGCCTGCAAGACCTGGAACGAGAGAATCCCTTCCTTAGTTTTTGGTACTGGAAGGCTTTCAATAAGGCCTTTTCTATCAGCTGTGATAGCTTTCTTCCCTTGGGAAAAGTGGAACCCTAAGTAAACAACCTCAGAGAGAGAGAGAGCTGCACCTTTTGTGGAGAAACCCTATAAACTCGGTTAGCAAGAAAATTCAAGAGGGTAGCTATGTCAGACTTTGAGGTTTCTAATGAGGGACTACAGAGGAGGAGGTCATCAACATATTGTAGGAGGGTTGAGTCTGGGCATAGAGGGAAAACAATCCTCAAGATCTCCAGCGAGAACTTGTCCAAAAATATGTGGGCTGTCTTGAAACCCCTGAGGCAGGACAGTCCAGGTTAACTGTTGGGAATGTCTAGTTTCTGGATCAGTCCAGGTGAAAGTAATATGTCTTGGGAAGAGACGGATAGTGGAATTGAAAAGAAGGGATCTTTAAGATCAATAACTGAAAACAGGTGGAGTTTGCAAGGAATGAAGGAAAGGATAGTATAAGGGTTTGGAACCAGGGAATGTATGGGCCTAGTTGAAGAATTTATTAACCTTAAGTCCTGCACCAAACAGTGTGTTCCGTTAGGCTTTTTTACTGCTAAAATTGGGGTATTGAATGGAGAGTTTGTGGGATGGAGGAACCCCTTTCTTATTAAGCTCTGAATGATTGGCTTTAGGCCATTAAGACTGGCAGTTGGCAGCGGGTACTGGGCCTGGTTTGGGAAGTGGTTAGGGTCTTTAAGATGCACTTCCACGGGAGAGCAATTTGCAGAGGACAGGGTTTCAATGTCCCATACAATTGGACCTACTATTTTACAGGGGAGAGGAAATGTGTGTTCTGGTGGTCGTTGGGGTCTCCACACCAGACACAAAGAGGTAAAGTCTCTTCTTCGTCAGGGAGTAAAGCCATGGCGGAGATATGAATAGGGGAGGACAATAAGCGTATGGTTATGGAGGCCTTCAAGATGGATAATATATCCCTTCCCAGCAAGGGGGCCAGACACTGAGGCATAACCAAAAAATGGTGTGAAAAGGAGGACTCAGATAAGGAGCAAGTGAGGGGAGGAGTTCTGTGCGGGATGATGGTTTGACCTCCTATCCCGACAATAGGAGATTTGGAGGGATAGGTAGTTCTCCAAAACTCTCTCAGAACCAAGAATGTGGCCCCGGTGTCTACCAAAAAGTTTATGGGACACCCATCCACTCAGATAACCACCTGGGTTCCAGCTTGGTGATTGAATAGGTGGGGACAGAAGACCCAGGGCCCTGTCAATCCTCGGCTGCTAGGCCCAGCAAGTCACTGGTGGGGTGACTGACCTCAGCTCCCCTCCGGGAATTGGGGCAGTCTGATCCCCAGTGGCCAGGACGTCGGCATCTGGGGCACAGTCTGGGTGGTGCCCTGGAGTTAGGGCAAGCCCTAGCCCAATGTCCTTCATTACCACACTTAAAGCAGGGCCCAGGGGGTCCTCATTGTGGGGGTTGTTGTCTCCCCCTTTCCATAGGTTGGAAGGAGCCCTGTAACACCTGGGCCAACATCTGGCATTTTTGGTGTTTTGCTCTTTCATTTCTATTGTGGTAGACCTTGAAGGCTGTGGCCAACACCTCGGTCTGAGGAGTCAAGGGTCCCCTCTCTAATTTTTTTAGCTTTGCCCGGATGTCAGAGTAGCTTTGTGAGGAAAAATAGGTCATAAGAAGTTGCCTCCCATCCTGGGATTCAGGGTCCAAATTAGTGTATTGAACAAGAGCCTTTGTTAGTCAGTCTAGGAAGGCGGAGGGGTTTTCATTCTTCTCCTGGATGACTTCCTGGAGTTTATCAAAGTTAATAGCCTTTTGTGCTGCCGCCTTCAGGCCAGCTATCAGACAGGTAATAAGGTGGTCCCTGTGTCCCAAGTCTTGGGGGTCATTATAATCCCAATGGAGGTCTTGGTCTGGAACCGCCTGGTCCCCTAAGGGATGGTGGGCATTAATTAGTCTGATGAACCTGGTCTGCATAGGCCCTAGCCTGGTCCCAGACCTTTCTCCTTTCCTCAGGGAGGAGAGTATTGGACAGAATCATATAGAGATCATGAAAGGTGAGGCTATAGGCTTGAGTTAAGTATTGAAACTCTTTAATATAAGAGACAGAGTTTGCAGTGTAAGATCCCAATTTTTTTTTCTACTCGAGAAAGGTCAAGCATAGAAAAAGGAACATAAACCCTTAAAATCCCGTCCGGTCTGGCGACCTGGCATCAGATCTGCTGGCATCTTGACCATTTGCCAGCCTCCAAAATGTGAAGATGAGGTTTGTTGTTTAATCCACCAGTGTATAGTAATTTGTTATAGCAGCCTGAACTAAGATGCTTACAAATTGAAGTCTATTTTAAAAATTATTTTGATAATGAGTTCAATATTTTTTATTTGACTTACAATGATTTCAGAAGAGATTAGGAAAGAAATTAATTAAAGAACTAGATTCTTGGGAACAATGATTTTTACAAGGCTCATTTTCATTAATGTCATTTCTAGGAGAGAGATGATCACTGAGTTTTCTTCACAACCAGGTTCACCATGGGCAAGAAGGTCCTGCCTTCCCCACAAGGAGATCCTGCAGTCACAGGCTCCATCCTCCATCAATGATGACAGGATTGCCTGTCACATAGGCTGACTGCAGTAATAAACATAAAGAGACACAACAGTTAAACAAGTGTGAACAGGCTTGGAAATTTTTTTTCTATGACTGCGAACAGTTGATTCTCATGCTAATAGAAAACCTTACTTACAATTTTAATTTAGGAAAATTGAAATTAAAGTTTGAATGATTTAGAACTGCTGACCTGTGAACTGGAGCTAAATGGCCCCTGTCCAGTATCCAAGAAGATGCTACATCTTAACCAGGATTAGTTGGGTATATGGTTTCAGAATCACTAAGTTAAGTAGTGGTGATATATAGCCATTCCCCAAACCAGGATAAAGTGTAGGCTAAAATACCACATATTCATTCTAATACTCAGAACTATTCAAAACTGGCTTAGTTTTGACCACTAATAGACTTTTCAACATAAGTGTGTCAGTCAAAAAGGGTTCATGTCAATGAACAAAGTTAAAAAACAGACAATGTATATTTAGTTAACAAAGGATTTTAAAATATAATTTCTGGTTTATGCTCACACAATTTTTCATTTTCCAAAGAACTAAAGCTGGAGTGATCCTTGTGGTAGAAGTTTCAACATCTTCCCCTCCTCCTTTTTTTCCCAATACTGTGGATTGAACTCAGGTGTGCTCTACCACTGAGCTATGTCCCCAGCCTTTTTATTTTTATTTTAAAACCAGGTCTTGCTTAGTTCCTAAGGCTGCCTTTAAACTTGCAATCCTCCTGCCTCAACCTCCCAAGTTGAAAACTAAAAATCTTTTTAACTTAAAATGGATAAGTACGTCTCAAAGTTTTAAATCAATCTAAAGCTTGAAACAATGAAAGAGGTTCTAGAAAGACATTATACTATGAGTATGGAAATTTTAAAAGCTCAATATATGAAAACTGATACCATAAATCAGAAAAACTTGGGGGTTATTAGTCACATTACTAAAGAAATGATCCCTAAGTTCCTTCAAAACGTAAACTCTAGCAGGGCACGGTGGTATACGCCAGTAATCCCAGGGGCTCAGAGGTTAAGGCAGGAGGATCAAGAGTTCGAAGCCAGTTTCACAATTTAGCAAGGCCCTAAACAACTCAGCAAGATCTTGTCTCTAAATAAAATATAAAAAAGGACTGGGAATGTGGCTCAGTGGTTAAGTGTCCCTAGGTTCAATCCCTGGTACCAAAAAAAAAAAAGAAAAGAAAAGCAAACTCTACTATGAACTGCTTCTAGCTCCTCAACCAAAACAAATGCCATTTTTGTTACACATATTAAGAATATTTGATATTTGGCAACATAAGGATAATAGGACTTATCATCAGCAGTATTTTTAAAGCAAATGAGCTCTTCTGAAGATATGGAATCAGAGGAATCACACAGGCTAATGTGCTTGCTCCCCTAATAATCTGCCTAGCCTTTTCTCTGGCCATTAACAAGGTTTGCTAACAGGTCTGAGAAGTGGTGGCTCCTCTGTCACTAAGACATTTCAATTCCGTATTTGTCACATTCACCAGCCATCTGGTGTGCACCACTTTACTGTAAAGAGGAGCTAACTTATGAGTAAGATACCTCTTTAGTCCCACCCCAACCCGGTCCTCCTCTCTTCCCATTCATCCCAGATCCCTGTTTATGTAATATTCAAAGACATAAAACAAAAGAGGATGCTCTTGTGCTCTATACCTTATAATGTAGTTTTTGTTTTCTCAGCTGTATATCATTTAAAAATACACACTAGGCATTAAGGATGAAATTGATTACTAAACAGATGCAGAGTAGGAGAGAGTTAAGAATTTTCATACACAAAGAAAACTAAGTAATAGGAAAAAAATAGCCAGTAGAATTCTCCGTAACAAATCACCAGTAAAACTAAAAACACCACATATGAATCCTGCCTTCCCTGAACACAACTAAATCTGATGAACCCCTTAACACTCTTCCCAGTTCTTCAGAAGCTCTTGCAACCCTAGAAGTTCCCCTGACTTACATTTAATCAGGATGTCCCCAATTGTAAGTTTTCCTGTGCTGGGGACGAAACCCAGGGCCTTGTTTGTACTAGGCAAATACTCTAACCAACTACTGACTTATGTCCACAGTCACTATCACCCCTGGTTTAAAAATTTTATTTTGGGACAGAGTCTAAGTTATTGAGGCTGGCCTCAAATTTGCGGTCTTCCTGCCTCTTGAAGAAGCTGGAATTACGGGCATGTACCACCACATCTGACAAATTATAATTTTTGAAAGAAATCCTCCATTTCTTTTGCTATATGATTTTGAGACATTAAGGTTGAATAAGGGAGCCAAGTGTGCTGGTGCATGCCTACAATCCCAGCTACTCACGAGGCTGAGGCAGGATGGTTACAAGTTTGAGGTCAGCCTTAGTAATTGAGCAAGATGCTGTCTCAAAATTTAAAAAAATATATAAAGGGGTGCAGATGTAGTCTCAATAGTAGAGTGTCCCTGGGTTGAATCCCCAGCACTACGAACACACGGAAGTTGAATGAGGGAATCACTGGCTCTGATCAAATGGCCTTTCCTTAAGTAGACTAAATCAGAACATGCCCCTATCTCGTAAACACAGCACCTCAGCATTCATGTGCCAACCTGAACGACTTTAGGTTGATGAGAAAATAGTAGTCGAATGTGATGGAGGGTAATGAGCTTTCTGGGAAGAGGAATGCTTACTTCATCAGAAGCCAGATACACACAGAGCAGGGCTACTTCTTCCGCAGTTGCAAATCTTCCTGTCTTTTGTCTCTTCAGGAAGTCATTCAGTGCCTGGGATCAGAGACCATTCCAGACATCAGTGATCCTGGCTGACATGTGTGCACACCTGCAACTTCTTTAAGGTGTGAAAAGCAAGGAAATCTACAAAGGAACTATGGGTTTGCCACCTTGAAGAATCATCAGCTGGGGTGATTCTGGTGATTCTTTCACCCAAGGTGCTCAAACTATCCATGATATAATGACACCCACAGATACTGTGACACATCAGAAAGCTGATATGAAAAAAGAATGTTTTTTATTTTATTTTATGGTAAAACATATAACATGAAATTTACAATTTAACTATTTTAAGTGCACGATTCTGTAGTGTTAAAGGCATTCACATTGTCTTACCACCTTCTAATCTCCAGAATGCTTTCCATCTTACTAAAGTGAAACTCCATACTTACAAAGGAGTAACTTTTCATTCCCCTCTGCCCCAGCCCCTGGTAACCATTTTCTTTCTCTATGAATTTGTCTACTCTGGGTAAGGAAGAGGACATTTTTTTAACCAAAATGTTTAAACACATTTAAAATTCTAGTAATACCTCTTCAGGATTTTCTCTGGCTTGTATTCTTTCTTGCAGAGATGGGGTATCAACGGTTCCTAAATCACAGGATGACATTCAGTTTGGTTACTTCTTTAAACCAAAAAAGTAGATAATTAAACTTCAAACTTCCTTTCCATATAATACAATTAGTGACACCCTTCTCCTTTGACTTAAAATGACAATTTCTCCTTGGCTGCCTGATCTCTTGACATGTAACTTCTTTAATAACATTATTATGATTTTTCTCTAACAGACTATGATTATTTGTAACAACCACAATGAGATGTAAATAAAATCATCCAAGCATTTTATCATCCAGTTTGCCTTAATGATCTCAAAAATATTCTTTGCTGATAAGTTTTCTGTAGGGATCCTTAGGTAGAACTCCAACACTGCCATCATTCTTGGTGATTTAGGTGGCTATAAATCTTCCTTAAAATTTTGCCTATTTTCATTGATTCTAAATTCCTGTTTTTAACCACTGTTTTAAATTTTTAATAAAAATTATGATTTGAAATTGTTTTACTTTGAAAAAGAAAAATAAGCTAGGCATGGTAGCATGTGTTCCTGTAATCCCAACAGCTCAGGAGACTGAGGCAGGAGAATTGCAAGTTCAAAGTCAACCTCTGCAATTTAGTGAGGCCCTAAGCAATTTAGTGAAACCTTGTCTCAAAATAAAAAGGACTGGGGATGTGGCTCAGTTATTAAGCACCCTTGGGTTCAATCCTCAGCACCAAAAAAGAAAAGAAAAATAAGAATGAAACTAAAATTTCAAAGTCCACGTAGTTCATGTGTTTCTACAGCAAGCTTTCCAGACTTCTTCTTATTTATTTATTTATTTTTATTTATTTTTAAGGTGTAGATGGACAATGCCTTTATTTTTATGTGGTGCTGAGGATTGAACCCGGGTCCTGCCAGTGCTAGTGAGCGCGCTACTGCTGAGCCACACTCCCAGCCCAAGACTTCTTTGTTAACTCATATAATCTGTAATTTCTCTTTAGAGGACTTATTTTATTTTTTTTGAGACTGTACAGTCCAGTACTCTGGGGAACCATGTGATCTTTTGAGGTTGTAACAAATGCTTTTACAGTCATACCCTCAACTTCATCTTTAGAATATGCTCCTGAGAATGCCATAGATCTGATCTTTGCTCTGAAACCATTAATTAAGTTGGGCATGGTTGTGTACAGCTGTAATCCTAACCACTACCACTCAGGAGGCTGAGGCAGGAGGATTGCAAGTTCAAGGCCAGCCTCAGCAACTTAGCAAGGCCCTATGCAACTTGACAAGACTTTGTTTCAAAATAAAATTATAATAATTATTTTAAAAAGAGAGCTGGAGATCCTTGGGTTCAACCCCCAGGAGAAAAAAAAAGAAAAAAAAAAGAAACCATTTCTTAGTTGTGGTATCATATTTCCATTTTTAATGGAGAGGCTGAGAATCTTCAAAATCAGAAACCCTGACACCTACATGTCAGGTGAGCCCTTTCTTCAGGTTCTTTCTCTCTTCTTACACTTTATCATAAGCAGACAGCACTTTCAACACGCTGGGTGGAAACTGCCTTAGCTAGATCACCCAGTTCATTAGAAATATTTTCTACCTTCACATTACTGCAGGAACTGAGGTCCGCTTTTGCCCACTTCCCAATGTTTTCCCCCTTTTTCACCTGTTTCTTTATTTTCCAAGTTTTTCTATTCGGGGGTACCTTCACTTCCACACTCTCCTCAAAACCCTCAGAGCTTTAAGAGCTTCCTGTCACTGAGGTGGGTGAGCATGGCATCCTACAGGGCTGGTGCTGATGGCTATTAAATGAAAACTGTAGAGCAAGCCAATGCCTGCACATGAATTCAGCTGTCACTGGGCTCTGCTGGGTCCATGACACAGACGGACAGACACCCTGTCTACGCATATCTGGTCGGAGATTCGTGACTCACATCATCAGCACCGTCCCAGTCACACTCGTTCCTGCTCAGGTTTCTTCTGTGTCTGGCTCTGTGAATCACAGGCCGTTCGTTGTTCCATAGACTTTGGGAACATATTTTCCAATCTTATGAAAAATCCAGCTGCTGAAATAACCACATTTTCCAAACCATTTTGCCATTTTTTTTTTCCTCCACTGGGTAAACAGTACCAAGAATAGCTTACATTCAAGTACCACCAACGTGTACATCAAAACCCAGAGAAACCCTCTCTCCTGTTTTATTCTTTTTCTTAGCGTTATCTATCTTTACATTTCTACTCCAAGAAAAATAAAGCAGCATATCTCAATCACTGAAAATCGGTAGCTGGAAGGATATTTCATAGTTTTCCCTCCTGTAAGTGGTTTTTATCCCAAGATTCAAGCAGAATCTCTTGTGGGACTTACCAAAAGACAGGCAGTTCTCCCCCACATCAACTCTGTCCCCAAATTCTGGCATGCCATGCCCTTCAGTTTGGAAAGGTCCCACAGGTAATTTAAAAATAGTCCTCCCAAATCCTCCAACATCAGCAGACAACTTCTGAAAACTATGATCTTGCATAGGCAGTGTTTCTTTTTGGAGGACATTAATAATCATTAGGTACCCTCTATTCATTTTGGGTGGTGGAAATAGGTCAAAGCAATATCTATCAAACAGACACATCCACAGTTACTAAAAGTCTCACTTTTCTTCTTCCTTTGTATGAGGGGCCAGAACATTTTTTTGATACATTTTTGTATCAAAAAAACATTTTTGGCTTTGAGATCCATTTGGTCTTTGCCTTTGCAGCCTGAAAACACAGCCAATACAAAGCAAATTGACTGTGAGTGTGTTCCAATAAAACTTTAAAACCAAACAGGTGGTATCCAGAGTTGGCCTGCAGACCTTAGTTTGCAGGCCCCTTTCTATTGCATAAAGAAGGGTTAAAGTCTCCTTTTGATTTCTGAGTCACCTCATGATTCTGATAGATCCCTATGTTGTGCCAGGCTCCCTTTACTTTCTCCCTCCTGTCTTATAAACATGGTCTGCTTATTAGCTTTCCCCTGATAAGGTCACCCTGGTCTGATTCCCAAACATCAGGCCCTAACAAGTTTTGTCTTAGGGACTTGATTGCAAATTGCCCTGCACATGTGGGTGGCTTTTAAATCCTTTGCATCTGTGACTCATTCCTAATGACTAAGGGTCTCTTTCCCAACTTACAACTGGAAGACTCTTACCTTAGGAAGACCAGAATCTTTCTTTTGAACTTTTCCCAATGACAGAATACAATGTAACATTTGGTAAATGAACTTACGCAAAATGATTCTCACGGTGGCAAACAGGATATCAGAAAGGACACATTCATAGCTCTGAAACTGCCGGACTCACCTGGGCACACACAGTTGCATCTGATACCCTGCTGGATGAAGTCTGCAGCGACGGACTTTGTAAGGCCAATCACGGCTGCCTTGGTGGTGCTGTACACACACCTGTTCACCACTCCTGAGGGGCAAGGCAAAGAGGGACAACTGAAGGAATGAGAAACATAGTCTCTTTTAGAGAGGAAACACAAGGTAGTTTTCTCAATAGTATTTTCCTGCTTCCTCCCACCCTCCTTTAAAAAAAAAAAAAAAGAAATCAGGTTTTCTCCCTTAATAGGCCAGTTGCTGCATCTAGGAAAATAATTTTAGTACAGGTACAATTTAACTGAGACCCAGGTGTTGAGATGCTGCAGTTACTTAATAACCAACAGCAGTCTGCTTCTTGTTGTCCATTGGTGTAACTCTTAAGCAGATTCTAAAAGAAAAAAAAAAGTGGAGGAGAAACAAAACCAAGCAAAAACCAAGCAATATACACAAGTGTAGGCACTTCTTTACATTCCTCTCTTGAGCATGCTGAGAGTGTGTGTCGTTGAGAAGAAAAGGAACATTACCTCAGCAGTAGCTGTTTCATTTAAAACTCAAATCCACCTGAGCCAGGCTGTGACATTATCTCCATTTTCCCCTGCCCTCCTATTCCTTCCACTTGGCTTTTCATTCAGAATCCAAATCAACTGTCTTTGGGAAGCATTCCTCTAACCCATGGGCAGAGTCCCCTCCCCTATAATGTGAGGGCACTTTGCACAAACCTCTTGTTAGAACACTCTCACACTGTAGGATGGTGTTTGCCTGCCTTTCTCCTCCTTTTGGAGTATGAATTTGGGGAGGCAGGTGCTCACTCTATCATTCTATCATCTTTTGTGATTTTTTGTTTGTTTGTTTTTACTTTTTCTGAGGAATAGAAGTTGATGTTAATGTTTATAACTGCACTTTACCATTTTGCAGAGTAATTTCAGGTACATGGATCTTTCCTTTCTTCTCCCTTTTCTTTCTTTCTTTCTTTCTTTTTTCTTTTCTTTTCTTTTTTTTTTTAGACAGGGTCTCACTATGCTGTCCAAATTATGCTCAAACTCAGGAGCCTCCTACATCAGCATCCCAGGTAGCTGGGATTGTAGGTTGTACCATTGTGCCCAACTCAGTATATCATTTTGGATTAATTAACTGATAAATGTTTCCTTCCCCAGGTCAACATTCATCTCCATGTCCATTAGAAGAAATAAAAGGGAAGTGTTAGGGCTGGCCCCAAAATGGCTGTAGTAAGGCTCCCTCCACAAAACTTCTGATGGGCTATATTCTTCTTCTTATTCTTCTTCTTCTTATTATTATTATTAAATTTTTTCTTTTTTAAAAATATTTTTTTAGATGCAGATTTTTTAGTTGTTTATATTTAATGTTGTGCCAGGGATAGAACCCAGTACCTTATGCATGCTAGGCAAGCCCTCTACCATTGAGCCACAACCCCAGGCCTTACATTATGTTCTTAGTGTGTAGCCAGGGCTGGGAACTGACTATGTAAGGGTTAGTCAAGGCCAGAAACACTGTGACTCAGTGTATAGACTCAAGATCACACACATTAACTTGTGAGTATGCACCACTACCCCCCCCTGGGGTGTTGGCAGTGTGCCTTATTTGTTTGGCCTGCATATAAAAAGGACCTATGGAAATGGGCTGGGGTGGGGGCTAAAATGGAACTGGGGGCTGAAGCTGAAGATGGGGGCTGGCTAATGGCTATGGCCACCTCTGAATAGAGGTTGACCAATATGCCTCACATCTTCTTCTACCTGCTGAACCCCGAATCTGTTCCCTGGGAACAGATTTTTGTTCGCCCCTGCAGGACAGGAAGACAAAGAAGATATTTTTATTTAATGTCTATGACAATAGGTCTGATGGTCAAGGAATGTATTACCAACATTTTTAAAAAGCAGTTTTGAAATGATATATGGGTTTTATGACCTCAGCTATGTGTACTCCCAAACCCACAGCTCCTAAGTGTGTGCGTGTGAGCATCATGAACTCCAGAGGAAGGAAGGCACTCCTACCTTTGATGCTGGAGGCCACAGAGGACATGTTGATAATGTTGCCAGATTTCTGAGCAAGCATCTGCCAAAACAAAACAACCGTGAATGGGGAGATACTCTGTAAGCTCAAAATACTCTGGCTTTAAAATGTTTTAATTTACTTACAGTTTGCAGAACCAATTTAACCGTGGCATTAACTATTTGTGTTTGAAACTGTTTAACAGTAAACCCACAACACCCGGCCCACCCATCTGCTGCTGGGAACTGGTGGCCTGTGACACCTTCACTGACGTCTCTGAGGAGCCTTACCACTTTCTCATAGTGCTTGACCAAGGATGAACTCCGAGCCAAATGGAACACGAATGGAAGCCAGTCATTACGGTGTGTTCCTGATGTTAGGACATTATCATTCCATTCAAAACACACACATGCACACACACATATTTTGTGTTGTGGAACTGGGCATTGAGCCAGGGGAGCTCTATCACTGAACTATACCCCAGAAATTTTAATTTTTATTTTGAGAGAGTTGCACTGGCCTTGAATGTCCTGCCCCAGCCTCCTGAGTTGCTGGGATTACAGGCATGTGCCACTGTGACTAGCCCAACACCTATTTGTTGAATACTAACTGTTCGGGAGATTCAGAGATAAATGACACAGCCCTGTCTATAGGGAGCAGTCGATCAGCCAGCCAGCCTGGTGTGGCTGACATAATCAAAGTCTAATGACAGTGAAGAACTCCAGAGATCTAAGGGAAGGGTGGGGGCAGGAGGCACCAATCCAGGCTGCTGGTGGGGGGGGGCGGGCACCTGGAGGGGAGCTCCTGAGTGGGAGGTATAAGGACAGAATTCCAAAAACTAAAGTATTAGAAAAATAAAAGAGTATTTCAAGGGAAAGGTATCACATGTACAAACTGGGAGGAGTGGATGGGCCTGGCTGGAACACAGTGTATTGAAAGAATGAGGGTGCAGAGTTCATCAGGGGCTAAACCAAAGAACCTGAGTCAGTGACATGGAAGGGTTTAAAGCAGAGGAGGAGAGGCCGATTCAGATTTAGGATTACAGAGACTACTATGGCAGCATTCAGAGACCCGTGAAAGCTGATGTAGTGATTGAAGAAAAGATGGTAAAAGTGGAGTATCAGAAATGTCCAAGGAGCAGAGGTAGCAATCACCAGCTGGGTGGGCAGGATTTGATCAGTAGTTACTGCAGTGAAGTGAGTCCCACTCAGGACAGTGTTTCCTAAGGATGCCTCCCTCAGGCTTTCCCCACTAAAATGTAAGTTCAACAAGAGGAGGGGCTTTGGCTATTTTGTGCCCTTAGAAAGGTTACACAGTAGACCATCCATAAAATTTGATGAATCAAAATTTCCTGAGGTGCTAGATTAAAAGACAGATTGCTGGGTCCTGTCCCAAACCTAACAGAAGCTATAATACACACAGCTGCTATGAATTACAAAAAGGTTTTCAAATGAACGTATGCTTTGTTAGCCATAACATGAATGTTTTTTTGGGTTTTTGGGATTTTTTGTGGGGCCTTGGGCCCGTTGGTTGTTTTGGGGAAGGAGGCGGGAGGTTGAAGGACTTTTTGTCCTTAATTTCCCGTTGAATTCAATGGCAAGGCAGATGGCCAACAAGAATCAGATGGACATCACTACCCTAAGTACGTGTCTGACGACACAAATGGGGTGACTCTACTGTGTACAACCAGAGATACGAAAAACTGTGCTCCATTTGTGTACTATGAACTGAAATGCATTCTGCTGTCATGTGTACCAAACTAGAACAAATGGAAAAAAAAAAAAAAAAAGAACAAGGCAGAGATGGTGGAGAGTAAGAGAGCAGCAAAGTGTTAACATCACTGCTGGGGGTAGTGCAGAACAAACTAGAGAACCCCAGGAAACCCAGCAGGGTGGTCATATCATGAAAATGAAGTAAAGAAAGGGTTTTTAAAAGGAGGGGTCTCTATACTCTAGATCCTATACAAAGGATCTAGAGAAAAAAAAAATCACTTCTGTCAAGGTGAGTTTCTCTAGCAGTTTTCAGGAACAAAAGAGGTGTAGGAAAGGGGAAGGCATGTGATAGACAAATCCAGGGTTAGGCTGGCCAAGATGATAGGGTTCTTTATTGTACTTTTTCTACCTTCTGTTTTTTTTGTTGTTGTTGTTTGTATTGGGGATTGAACCCAGGGGTGCTGAGCCACTGAGCCACATCCCCAGCCCTTTTTATTTTGAGATAGAGTCTCCCTAAATTGCTTAGGGCTAAGTTGCTAAGGCTGACCTCAAATTTGGATCCTCCTGCCTCAGGCTCCTGAGTCACTAGGACTTACTGTTTTAACACTTAGCTACTAATTGTACCTAAGAACTGACAATCTAAAATAGCCCCAAGGCATTGTGTGAATGTCCTAAAGGGATACCGAGGGAAGCTGTGGTGACCCAACCATGTCAAGGAAGACAGCTAGGAAAAACTAACATTTTGTGTTTCCTTATATGATAAAGGGGGTCATCATGAATTGGGGTTCTCTTAAAGGGATCAGGAATGTTAGTAATGCTTACTGGTATAAACTCAGGAATGTCAGTAATGCTTACTGGTATTAAACTATCTTACTGGTATATAAACTAAGCCTTCAAGTCGCTCTTTCTCATTCAATTTAGTAACTAATCTATTTATAATACACTGAAAATATATTCAAGCTATTTTAATATATAAAGAAGGCTACTATGTAGGCTCAGTCTCCAGTCTTCTGAAATGCAGTAATTCTTTGGGCAAAACTTAGAAAACAGTCACCTTGGAGGCATTCGTCCTGCCCACTAACACTCATACTATCCATTCCACCCAGGTCCATCAGCTAATTTTGAAGACATTGCTCACTTCTTCTAGGCTACGTGTCTTCCCCAACACCAGCTCAGGACAGGCCCCAATTTTTGCCCTAATGGATCTTCTCCTCTGGTAGAACTTGCATTCTGCATGGACCTCTTCTTACAGTATGTTCACCTTGTGCTCTGTTTTTTGACTGATCTTTCAATCTTGCAGTGTTCTTTATTTTATTTATTTATTTTTTTGTATCTCCACATAAACAAAATTATTCTGCAACTGTTTCTGTGTTTTGACAACCTGATCTTTCCGTTCTGCCCAGGCTCGAAATCCTGGCTTCCTCTGGAAAGTTCCAACTGGTATATGTGTGTCATAGTTTATGACAGGGAAGATCCTACATGGTTAGGGATGGAAGTGATTGCACAATTTCTGGCCCTCATTTTTAGATAGAAGAAATAAATACCGAGAAAGAGAGCATGTGTCATCTCCCAAGGCACCTGGCTGATTTGAGACAGAATTGAGAATGTGCCTGGGGACTTCTGATGCAAGTGTTTGAAACTGGTAATTAAGTTAGTCTGAGTCACTTTAAACAACTTGCACTGAATCCTTCTGATTTTAAATCCCAATTATAATGACCTCTCAAAGTTTTTTTTTTTAAATAAATGTGTGTTATTGCTTCTTATAGATCATTGTTAAGATTAAAGTTGAGTATAGTGGCAGGACTGGAATCCTAGCTACTTGGGAGGCTGAAGCAGGAAGATGGCAAATTCAAGGTCAAATTGGGCAACTTAGACCATCTCAAGATGGAAAATAAAAAGATGTAGGGATGCAGCTCAGTGTTGGAGTACTTGCCTAGCAAGTGTGAGAACCTGAGTTCAAACCTTAATACCTGGGGAGGGAAAAACCCAGAGCTTTAAATCATAGACAAGTTTATTAATTTACCAGTTGACCTTGGTATATTTAGAAAGTTAACCTACATGTTTAAATTTCAGCTTCACTATACTCAACACCTATTTGTGAGCACTTTAGCAGTGGGCTCTGTTTTACCAGTGAGTCTCATACATGTCTTACCCACTGTGATGTAATTTCCCCCTTACCATGGGCTCTGCTTCATCCTCATATACTGTGCAAAGGATCTGTCTTCCAAAAATACATGGAAGTTCCAAATAATATTTTATTTATATATATGTATATATAAAATATAATAATATAAACTAGCAGATTTATATTTTCATTCATTCCCTAGGCACATCTAAGATCCCTTATAGGAACTAAACAGATAAAACAAACAAAAAACCCCAAACATTTCCTTCATTATCAAGTTAGTTTCCTTAATCTTGCTGCTAATGTTCACCTGGATCCTTCTTGACATCTGGTTGAGCCTCAGAGCAAAGTATCGGCTTTGCTGCGCCCTTAACACAGCTCTTCTCCAGTCCTGATGCCACCTGGTTGACTGGCATTCAAAACCCCCAGTCATCCAATTCAGCTGGGATAGGAGGGTCACAGTGTCCCCTCTGCATTTCACCAGGGTTCACTTTACAAACTTGAGCTGAGCCAGTTCTGTATTCAGTCTCTTTCATTGTCTGCTATTAATGGCTTATGAGTTCATTCAAAGTCAGGGCTGCATGCATCCTACATTAATACCCCCAGAGAACCTAGTAGAATACTTCATACTGAAAAGGGTTTTGTTTGTTTGTTTTCCATTTATACTGGGCAATGAGTATTCCTTTACTGTTGCTATTGTTTTTGTTTTAATTACCTGACCAGCTAACTTGTGTAGCAATCAAGTCCACTGTACTTTCAGTCCTTTTACAAGACTTAAATACTAACACTCTTACCAGGAAAGTATTAACACAAAGGAGTGAGGTTTACGCAAACAAGAAGGCTAAACTCTTCTACATATTTTTATAACTGTGCCATATCACAAAACAAATCACTATATCCCCAACAGGTAAGGCGCTCTGTCCTAACATGCCTTCATAATATTCCAGTAAGAGATGCCATTTCTTGCAGCAATTCAACCTTTCAATGCTGGTGAAATGTGTTGTGATTCAATTGTACCTTTATTCAGTCATGCTGCAGGGACAGTGGGCTGCATCCGTTTCATAAGGCTGTCATAAGACAGTGCCAAATATGGGGTGTTTAAGGACAGAAATTTATATGTCCTAGTTCCAGAGTGTTTGCTAGAATGATTTCCTTTGAGGCCCACTCTTTGGCATGTAGATTGCCATCTTCTGTCTTGATTTTGGCATCTGTGCTTCTCTGTGTCTTTAGTGCCACTTCCCTAAAAGGTTTCTAATGCTTGTTTGTAAAAGTAAATTTAAAATATTAATGAGCTTTATGAAGGCTGGAGAATTCAAAAGAAGTTAACTCAAGAGGAATGTTTGCTTTCTTTCATTTTATTTTTGGTACCAGGGATTGAACCCGGGGGCACGTAAGCACTCAGCCACAACCCCAGCCCTTTTTAAAATATTTTATTTACACACAGGGTCGGGTCTCACTAAGTTCCTTAGGCTGGCTTTGAACTTGAGATCCTTCTGCCTCAGCCTTCGGAACCTCTGGGATTACAGGTTTGTGCTCCTGCACACCCTCTCTCATCTCTCTAGTACCCCTGTGGCTCAGCTAAAGCAGAAGCTAAAGGAGAATCTTCAGGGTAGAGAGAGGCAACAGGGTCCATTCATTACCGGTGCGATTCAGGAGGCACTGAATTTTCAGGCTTCAAATTTGGGTTTTAGCCATTGGTTGGTTGTGTGGCCTTGGGAAAGTGACCTAACCTCTCAGTTTTATCCTCCGTTTAGTCAGTGGATGTATGTTATGGTTTGGACGTGAGGTGTCCCCCCAAAACAAGAAGGTTCAGAGGAGAGATGATTGAGTTGTAAGAGTCTTAACCCAATCAGTGGATTAATCCCCTGACAGGGATTAACTGAGTGGTCACTGAAGTGGTAGTGTGTGGCTGGAGGAGGTGGGAATTGGGGCATGGCTTTGGGTATAAATTTGTATCTAGTGAGTGGAGACCTCTCTGTCTACTTTCTGATTACCCTGTGAGCTGCTTCCCTCTGCCACACCTTTCTGCCAAGAGGTCCTGCCTCACCTTGAGCCCCAAGGAATGGAGCCGGCCTTCTATGGACTAAGACCTCTGAAAACGTGAGCCCTCAAATAAACTTTTCCTCCTCTACAATTGTGCTGCTTGGGTTTTTTAGTTAACGGCGGTGAAGCAGCTGATGAAAACAATGTGAAAGGATAGTAACTATCTCACAGGCTTTTTCACAGTACTCACAACTCCTCCACATATTTTAGGTCTATTTAATTACCTGTTATCCTGTTTCACCCCTCAATAATGAAAGCTTTCTCATAAAAGGGATTTTGTTTGCTGATGGATCTTCTGTGGTTGAAATAGAGCCTGGCATGTAGAAAGTGTTTTAATAAATATTCCTTGAATGTATGAACAGGGAGGTTAAGTGAATTAGTTGATATCAAATGCCCAGATTTAAATGTTCAGTGCACACTAGTTGTTCTATAGTCACTCCCCAGGCATCCTTCCTAGGTGCCCAGCCTGGAGACCTAGTGTGGTGCTAGCCTGGTGGTGGTGGTGGCCTTACTTTAGGAAGGAATGCCTTGATCATCAGGTACATGCTGCGGACGTTGAGATTCATGGAAAAATCCCAGTCTTTTTCCTCACAGTCCAGGATGGTTCCATGATGAACAAAACTGAAAGAGGGATTAAACAGTGGTGTTGGTGATGTCATTAAAGGGCTAGGGACAAAGCTCAGCGGTAAAGTGCTTGTCAGTATGCATGGGGCCCCAGTTCAGTCCCTAGCACTGTTCAAAAACAACAACAACAACAACAGCAACAAACTGCTATTAAAATGTATAATTCATTTGTGAATCATTCTTATTGACTTAGACCCTTGTCTCTTTGCCTTATCAAGACTTTAAATAATTCAAACATAGTATCACTTAGCACATTGTTAGTAAGGATCCCAACAACTTAAACTAGAACGTTTGTTATCTGAGAACAATATTATTTTTTTTTAAAAGAAAAAGACAAGAGTTTGGGGTCGCCAAACCAGAGAAGCTCTATACCAGCTGCACTGGAAACATCAATGCTATTAAAAACAAATAATGAATCTAAGGCATCTACCCCATTCAACTCTATTTTAAGAGCAACAGTGCCCTCAGGTGGTAGGAATTGAGTGCTCTCCAGGGAAATCATTGGCAAGAAAACCAAGTGTGAATCAGTGTCTCAGGATAGCAAAGCAACTTGGCTGCTGTTTACTTGCACGGCAGAACAAAACCAAACCCTAAAATACTCTGCTCTCCTGTTCCAGTCACACTTCCTCAGCTTCCTAAACACTGGAGTCCTTATTGGTTTCGTTATGTAATCAATTATCAAATATTGTTGGTTGGGATTCCCTTGTGCTGCAGGACTCCCAGTTTGGCCAGATAGGTCAGCCCCCTGCCAGCGAGAACCACCAACCACATGCTGTATTTCTGTATCCTCTACACTGCTGAAAATGTAATAAATGCTCAAAAACTAACTTAGCTGTTTTTGTCATGTCTCGAGGTGTATTCTTACATTTTAAAAATAGACAATCAGAAATCACTGTTTCGCTTCCAGACACTGATACAAGCACTGGTACTTCCACAGCACACGACGCCGCATTGCACCAGTACCAGTTGTCTTCCATGGTCTGAAACTGCTTTTAGGCCCCAAGTGCGTGTCTCTCTGGTTGTCTTACTTGCTGAATCTTACGGGTAACGAAAATGCCATCTGGAATCTAGTCATACTTCTCAAGGAATGTATCAGGGTCCACAAAGAGTAACTTTGCTATATTATCAAAATTATTATTTTTTTAAAGTCATAGAAAACTTTCTGAAAGTGAAATCAAAGAGTTATAAATTACCCAGCAACATTAAAGAGAACATCAATTCTTTCAACCTCACTGGCGAACTGATCGATTTGTTTCTTCTTTGTGACGTCAAGGACACGAGTTTGGATACCTGAAAGTGACATAAAAGTCAATATTTACTATGTGGCACATATACACAATAGAATATTACTGAGCCATAAAGAAGAATGAAATTATGGCATTTGCTGGTATATGGATGGAACTAGAGAATATCATGCTAAGTGAAATAAGCCAGTCCCCCCAAATCAAAGGCTGAATGCATTCTCTGATATGTGGATGCTAACACACAAAAGAGGCAGAGGATGTTCACTGGATTAGACAAAGGGGAATGAAGGGAAGGGAGCAGGGATGGGAACCGGACAGAACTTTCCTATGCTTGTATATGAACACATGACCTGTGTAACTCCACATCATGTACACAAGAATGGGATCCTAATCAGAATAAGACATACTCTATGTATGTGTAATAGGTCAATATATACTGTACTGTCGTGTGTATCTAAAAAGAACAGATATAAAAAAGAAAGTATAAAACATAAAGTACACTGAGATTATACACACGCATGCACACACACACACACACACACACAATACCTACTTACCAATAACCATAAAAATGTTTAATCTTGAAAATTGAGTTGTTTTGAAGCATGGAGAGTGAAGAATGCAGCATCTGCCCAGTTAAGGCACACAGGATGGTGGGCTGTCATTACAGGGTCTTAAGAATCTTAAAAATCTCATTAAAATGTATAAAATCCCCCCAGTGACCCCATCCCTCTTCTTTTCCATTTCTAAGTTGAACAATAGGCTCCTTTCTGAGTGATGCCTTTAGGGTGAACACTCATCGAGTCATATAAGACATGTCCTAACCCAGCAGCGAGGACAGAAGTGGTACATTTCAGCCCATTCTTCCCTCAAAGACTGTGTTGCCCTTGGACTGGTTACTAAAACAAATCTGTGTTCTCTAACAAAATCAGCATTTATGTCTCTTTTAAAAAAATACATATGGTTTATTTGTTATTTTGAAATACAAAGAAAAGATTAACAAACAGAGAAAAGGAAGACTGAATTTTTGCTTCAGCTAGACTTCACTTCCAGTACAGCAGCTTTACTTTGATTTCTTGGCATTATAATTCAACATATTTTGATTAAATTGGCTAATTCAAGGACTAATGTGAGCTTGATTCAAGTACACTGAGATTGTACACACACACACACACACACACACACACACACACAGGCACAATATCTTCTTACCAATAACCATAAAAGGTTTGATCTTGAAAATTTAGCTGTTTTGAAGCATGGAGAGTGAAGAATGCAGTATCTGCCCAGTTAAGGCACACAGGATGGTGGGCTGTTCTATTTTACTGAACAGTTGACTTTTTTTTTTAGTTGTTGATGGACCTTTATTGTATTTACTTATTTATATGTGGGGCTGAGAATCAAACCCAGTGCCTCACATGTGTGAGGCAAGCGCTCTACAGCTGAGCTACAACTCCAGGCCCTGAACAGTTGACTGTGAAAGGGGTTCTCTGTTCTGATTTCTTTCAGGGTAATTGCAGTGCTCTGAGGTTGGCGTTAGATTGAGTGCCCTGCAGTAAATGTAGTTGCACACCTAAATCAGCTGGGTGATCTCTTAGGGTTTCTCACCACGATACGTGACTTTAGGGCTATGCTATCCCAGGATGGTAGCCACTAGTGAGCTACATGTGGCTTGTGAGCACTTGGAATACAGCTGGTGTGATCTGAAACTTGCATATATGTAAAATACGTGTGGATTTTGAAGATTTAGTATGAAAATGCTGCGATGTTTGTCAAAGGGTACAACCTTGCAGTTAGGAGTAAATTATGAAGACTAATGTACATAGTTAACACCATGTATTGTGTGCTTGAAATTAGCCAAAGTACCTTAAGTATTTTCATCACACACACACACACACACACACACACACACACACAGAGAGAGAGAGAGAGAGAGAGAGAGAGAGAGAGAGAGAGAAATATGTGAGGTGATGGATATCAAAATATCACTTTGGGGCTGGGGATGTGGCTCACTGGTTAAGCACTTGCCTAGTATACAGGAAGTCCTGGGTTCTATGGGGGAAAAAATTCCCCAAAGCAACAGCAACAACAATAAAACCAACCACATCATGTTGTACACCTTGAATACACACAATTTTTGTCAGTTACAGTTACAACTGTTACAACTCAATAAAGCTGAAAAAAACTGATTGAGGCTTGTAATAAAGTTGTAATAGGTCAAATCAAAAGATTAATTATGAAAAAAAGAAGGCATAATATTTTGTTAACTTTTAATACTGAGTACATGTTGAGATGATAATATTTTAGATAAATTGGGTTAAATAAATAATAAAATTAATTGCCACCTGTTTTACTGTTTTAAAGTGGCTGCTAGAAAATTTACCAATACACCCGTGGCTCACATCAGGTTACTATTGGACAGTGCTGCTGTAGAGAAAGAACAGAAGAGTTGTCGTGAATAGGTAACCTAACAAGTCTTCACACATAGCTTGGTAATTTGAAACTTAAATTCTCGATATATTGATACATAAGAAGTTTTAAGTATATGTCTTCAAATTTTTTTCCAGTCTTTTTCTTTCTTTCTTTTGGGTAAGAAACTCAGGAATGCTTTACTACCGAGCTACATCTTCAGTCCTTTTTAATTTTTCATTTTGAAACAGGGTCTAGGTTGGGATTCTCCTGCCTCAGCCTCCTGAGTCTCTGGGATTAAGGGTGTGCACTATCATTTGCCCTTTTTCTTTCTTTCTTTTTTTTAGAAGTGGAATTCAGTTTTGCTTTGTCCTCTCCATGACTACCATGACTTCCTCCATTGAAGACGGGAAGAAAAGTCCCAGCCTTATGCCACAGAATTCAAGTACTCATGTACTTGTTAGAGGTGGCAAGACCCCTGTTTCTCCAGGTTTTGACTCTGAGAGGTGATGCTTTCAGTATCAGGGAAGGGAGGAGGAACTACTGCCAAACCACTGGGAATGTCTTCTGGATTAGTCAGTGCCCCAATTTGTAAAGTGCTGCTGGCGTTAATATCTGTCAAGCTGTCAAAAGTGTCCACACTTGTAACAAACAGTACAAGAATCCCAAAGCCATTGCAGAAGTCCTTCCCAGCTGAGTCTGGTCATTATTGCAGAGCTGCTTTAACCTCAGAGATGCTATCCCTCAACTTAAATGAAGCCTCTCAGATGCTCTTCAGGTGATGGACTGTAATTTGGAAACTCATCGGGTGTATCAAGAAGAGCTCAATGGACTGGGGTTGTGGCTCAGCTTGCCTTGCATGTGTGAGGCACTGGGTTTGATCCTCAGCACCACATAAAAGAATAAATTAATAAAGTTGTTATGTCCAACTACAACTAAAAAATAAAAAAAGAAAAAAAAGATATGAGGCAACCACATCTTAAAAACAAAAAAAAGAGTAGCTTTCAAATCCTGTGGATGTCACTCAGCCTGCTACTTAGAGGCTGAGACAGGAGAATTGCAAACCACAGGCCAGCCTTGCAACTTAGGTAGACCCTGTCTCAAAAACAAAAATTAAAAAGGTCTGGGGATGCAGCTCAGAGGTTCAGCACCCCTGGAGTCAATCCCCAGTACCAGAATATTCTTCTTTTATTATTTGATTTCATTTTTTTCCTGGAAATAGATGGTGTTCTCAGAATTCTTACTCTATGAGCTAATCAAGGAAACATGTCTTCCAAGAAAAAAAAAATGGATGGTCTAACTGCAATATACAATGATCAAGAACCCCAACAACAAGGAAAGTCTAAGAGCTGGGTGCCTGGATATGCACACTAATCCCACCCACTCAGAAACCTGAGGCTGAAGATCTAAGTTCAAGGCCAGCCTGGGTAGGTTAGGGAGACCTTGTCTGAAAAAAAAAAGCTGGGAATACTGCTGAGTGGCAGGGCACCTCTGGGTTCATGCCCAGTGTGAGGGTGGGGTAGGATGGGGGGGCATACAGGGCAGAAAAGTGGCCTGAATGTGGAGAAGGCCAAAGACGTTCATAGGGACACTCAGGTTCCTTCCGCTCCACAAGAAGATGAGCATTACTGTGAAATGGACCCAGAAAACTAAGCTCACAAACGAATCAGAGTCATTAATTATTCACCAAAAAGGAACAAGAATACAAGATCTGCTGTCCTACTGTGGGAAGAGCCGCTTTCCAGCATTTGATAGTAACAATGTAGAAAAATCATGTGAAATAAGAGATTGAAATCAACTGATTCCCCCAAATACAAAATTGCTGATTAACCTCCATGTTTGAAAGTGTTTAAAAACTGAGGGTGGAAGCACAACTGATCCCAAGGGCACGTGGCGGTGGACAAAGGCAGCTGGTAGTGGGACCTGCACAGCCCCAGGCTCTGGCTCATCATCTGAGCCCTGCACCCACAGTGCCCCTTCCTCCATTATCCAGATTTCATTTAAGGACACAAATTTTTTGTGTGTTTTGAGGACAATGAGCCAGAACCTAAAGAGGCACCAGTGTTGCTGAGCTAAGGAGCTCATTAAGCAATGCCTGGCATATAGGAAGCTCTCTCTCTCTTTCTTTCTTTTTTTTTCCTTTGTGTGTGTGTGTGTGTGTGTGTGTGTGTGTGTGTGTGTGTGTGTTCGAGTATGTGTGTGGTGCTGGGGATTGAATCCAGGGCCTATGCATATGCTAGGCAAGTGCTTTATCACTGAGCTACCTCCCCAGGCCAAGGAGCTCTCTTAGAACCTTCAAATGTCATTGCTTTGTAATGCCCGACAGACTCTGAACCCCAGGGTCCAGCTGCTCAGTGGCTTACCTGGGTAGTTTTCCAGTTCCTGAAGTTTGGACTCATTGATGTCCGTGGCTATGACTTTGGCACCTTCATTTGCAAAAGCCTGGCAGACACAAAGTACAAATAACTACCTCGTTTACTCGATTAAATGCTCGGAGGAATGGAAAACATCTGATCTTTTTTCTTTTTTTCTTGTTTTCATGGTTGTTTCCCCTATAAAATACGTGGAATTTCAAACTACCCAGTCTTGCTTCCCTTCCCCCACTCTGATTATTTTTATTTATTTTCATCATTCTTTAGAACAATGTGACATATATTCTGTATGTCTTTTGACTTTTTCTCTTTAATATCAAACAACATAGTATTTATTTATTTATTGGTACTGGAGATTAAACCCAAAGGCACTTAACAACTGAGCCACACCTCCAGCCCTTTTTATTTTTTATTTTGAGACAGGGTTTCACTAAGTTGCTTAGAAGCCTTGCTAAGTTGCTGAGGCTGGCTTGGAACTTACTATCTTCCTGCTTCAGCTTCCCGAGCTGCTGGGATGATAGGCATGCACCACTGCGCCTGGCTAACATTCTGTTTTTAGCACTTCTTTAAAAAATGTTGTTATTCCATTTCTAACTAAATTCCAAATTATAAGAAAAAAGGGGTTGAATTTTCCTCCTGGGAGTATACTAGCACTTTCATAAAGTTCAATCATGCCCCTTACGACACATTATTAGCTCAGGTAGGTGGTATAATGTGGGAGAAGTTGAGGTAAAGCACAAGACAAGGGTAGCCTGACACTTTTATAACTCTGGAGTCCTAATCCTGAATTGACACGATTTCAGAAAGCTATGCACCTCAGAAAAACTGAGGCAGAGAACTACATTTCTCAGCATCCACGGTTATGGGTGATATCTCATACTCTGTGGATGTATTCATTCCTTTATCTGCTTCAGGTAGTGTGACTTTTTTGGTAACTTAGGACAACAGAAAGATAAAGTTAATTTAAAAAGCAAAATGCCTGGGGGTGTAGCTCAGTGGGAAGAGCACCTGCTCAGCATGCTCACGAGTCTGGGGTCACTCAGTGCCTGCCCCCCCAAAGCAGAGCAGAATTAAATGACCAGCGTTCAACATTTATATTGGGCCACATAATTCAACACTTCAAAAGTGGGCAAGTAAAGAAGACAGTGACTCACCACAGCAGCTGCCCGGCCGATCCCCTGAGCGGCAGCTGTAAGGATGATGACTTTCCCATCAAGTCGACCCATGAGGAAACCTGTGGTTTAATCTAAAGACAAATGCATTCCATGGCTTACACTGTAGCCCCTGGTCTTGTGGCAGGCCGTGACGTCTGGAATGACAGCTCTGTGTGCTGCGTAGGAATGTGAGGACAGCACCCCTGTTCCAACAGTCCCACCATCCGAATGTCCTGGGCACTTTACTCTAGATACCTAGCCTCGTATCTCAAAATCATTCAGACAACACACTGAGGTGATGACGGGCGATGGGCTCCGGATGGAGAGGACACCTCTGACCCTGTGTCCTCACTATCCTCCCTGCTTCCCCTGCACCCATTGCTATAGCATCGTTTGTGTCCTTACCACCCAGGGCTGCTTCCTGTAAACTTCTGTCAAGGTTGCAATATTGATAACTTATGATTTTTTTTCTTGTTCATTGAAAAGATTTCCTGATTGGCCTCAGAGATGAACAAAAGGGCTGGAAAAATCAAATCATGTCCAATGTCCCCATTTTACAGAGGAGGAAACTGGACCTGCCCGTTAATAAATCCAGTCAGTGGCAGAACCAGAACCAAACTTGAATTTCTGGCTCTTTTGCTGTGACAACAATCCATCACACAACACTGCGGATCCTCTTTTACAGATTAAACATGTTAACAGTAACACTTGAACACAAAGAGTCAGTAATTTCTAAAAGCAAAGAATGAGAAACTCTGACATAAGGGAAATTCAATGTGCCTGAGATATTTGGCTAAGCTTGGACTGCACATCATAGGGTGAGAGGAACAGCCAGTGATGAGCTGGGATTCGGGGAGAGTCTAGTGGTGATCAACCATGTTCCTTTTCTTGCTCTGCTCTGTCCTTCAAGTGTACCTCTGACTTCATACCAATTCACAAAGTGACTGCTGTGGCCCAGACATCACATTTATATTCTAGGAAAAAGAGAAAGGGAGGAGTAAAAACTAAAGCCTTTCAGCTGGGTGTAATGATGCACACCTGGAATCTCAGCCCATCAGGGGGCTGAAGCAGGAGGACTGCAAGTTTAAGGCCAGCTGCAGCAACATAACGGTACCCTGTCTCAAGATAATAAATAAAAAGGGCTGGGATTTGTGGCTCAGTGGTTAAGTGCCCCTGGGTTCAATAGTTTGTACCAAAACACTAATGCCTTTCAGAGAGGCCTCATTTTCTGAGGAATGAAATTAACTAAATTATGCTATGTGCACATATGAATATGGCACAGTGCATCCAACTATATGTATAATTATAACAGACTAATCAAAAATTAAAAAAAAAAAGAAATTGGAAATTTCTCGGAAATTTCCACCTACATTTCATGACTCAAACCTGTACGACTTGGCCACTCTAACAGCAAAGGAGGTGAGCAATTTGAGAATTTTGTTTTCCAGCCATGAGAAAGTGAAAAGCAAGAGGGAGAGTGAGTTGGATGGGTGCCTAGAGAGCCACCTGAACGCACTTGCACAGATGGTCCTCACTGTCACTCGGCTCACTTGCCTGCCTGATAGAGTAGACGTTGCAGGCCTGGCCCGTGCCTGCCACCCCTGCCCTGTACCCAAGGCACCCTTTCCTTTCATGCCTCCACACCTTGGGCCCAACTCCACACGCTAAAGCACCAGTTCTTCCTGTAGGCAGAGGGCTTGAGGATGCATGGAAAGGACACCACATGATCAGAGAGGTATTTCAGAAAGATCACAGCAAAGAACAAGCCTGGGCAGGCGCAGGGCGGTGTGGGTGGGAGGTCCTGCAGTTGGTCTGAGAGGTGCTGGTGAAGAGAGAGACCTGGAGGATGACAAGCATGTCAGAGATGAGACACGGGGCCTGGTCACCAATGAGATGCTGTGATTTGCCTACTGTTGTACAGAGGTGAGTGCAAACGGGGGCCTCTGACTGCAGGTCCAAGAGACGGCCCTGTGGCTCAGGGCACTGACACATGACGCTTGCAAGCCCAGCAGACCTCTTTAAACTCCCACTGTGACTCCAGGAGCCTGCAGCTCACTCACCCCAGATGGCAGGAGGTGATCAACCATGAGGAGTTTGTCCTGAGGCCACTTTTCCAGAGGCCATTTGGAGACAAAGGCAGACCCATTTCCAGGAGATAGCACCTTTCTCATGGCTTGACCTGGCCCACTTTCAAGACTGCCCTGCTGAAGGTCTCCTAGACTTTACAGCATTCTGGATGTTTCCATCCCACCTGGCTTTGCTCTTTCTCCCTTCCTTGGTGATCTCATGGCTCCTCAGCCTTACCTAGTTCCCTCTGCATTTTCTGGCACAGGAACATTTCCCCAAATACCATCCACACCTGGGTAAGTATGTCTAGGAGTCGGCCTCTCCAAGGACCAGATCCAGACAACCACACCATGATAACTAGTTCCCATCATAACTAGCTCCAAGGACCAGCTTACAGCTCCCTGCTAAGTGGAACTAAGCTCCACTTAGTTCCCAATTGTTAGGAAACATAGAAGTGGTTTTTACACTGCCTGACCTACTCTGTGACAATGAGTTTTTTCTTCTTACGAGAGAGATAAAATTTCACATTAAATACAGAAGAAGTTGGAAAAATTCTACGTGTACTTTAGACAGACTCTAGCTGTCTTTATGGTCCTCCAGTCCTAAGCATGGTGTATTGAGAAGCTGTTATTTTACAATACCCTTCTAGGTAATGCAGGGTTCCTGTTACTGTAAAGGAACTCGTCCAAAGTTAAGAATCTCTGACACCCAGAGAAGTGGACACCGAGTGAAGCACAAAGCATTCTTTTTTACTCACTTTGAAAACCTCCCCCTACTTGGCCTCCCTGTTGTTCTGAGTCCAGATTTTGGAGTCAAAGCTTTCACATTAGGTAAGTTTCATTCTCAAAATAAAACAGATTTCTTTGGGAGAAATGAGTGCAAACATAGCCAGACATGGTCAAAATGAGGCAACTCCTAGTAAATTCAATGTGAACATTGAGCACATTGGTTTTCTTACTCTAAACATTGGGGGACAATGTTAATTTTGATCAGCAGAGGCAAAAATAGAGCATTTTAAGGATATCTAAATGTTTCCATGAGCCAGACAGAAAATTAATCACTTAGGATAGATACTGTAAAAGTTCTCCATTTCTTCAGCTACTTTGAATAACTTATAAATATGGGAAGTTTTAAACTTGTTAAAAAAGACCTGTCTTTATCCTGATCTAACTGCTGAGATTAATCTCAAAATATGCAATGTACAAAGCAAAGCAACATCTGAGCATTAAATCTTCCCTTCCCACAGTCCAAAGTTTTGTTTTATAAGTATTAGGAAATCTTACTTTAGAGGAATGAGTACTTGGCGTCTCCTCTAGATCCAGGCAGGAAGGAGTAATAGACTTGAGATCTTTGTTCAGAAGCAAGTCAAGCGCTCAATAATGCATGCTGGGATTCGTAGTTCAGATTCCTTCCCAGTACTAGTTCAAGTTTTTTTTTTTTTTTTTTTTTTTTTTTGAGGAGTTGCATCAGCCATATCTTTTATGTGTGTGTGTGCTGCCATCTAGTGGACGACAGGTATAACTGTTATCTCCCAGTAGAAGAAGAGTGGAAAACATCTTCACATCTCACTTAGGATGTGAGGTCATTTCCTTCTCAGCCTGTCTCTGACCGTTTTTTGGGCTCCTATTATTCACTGTTGTTAGTCAAGGTTGAACGAACAAGAAATGTCAAGTAGAAGATACCAGAACAACAAAATAGAAGGAATCCTGGTCGTTGGGGGTTCTGTACCTTTCCTAGCCCTTAAAAAAATTGCCTGGTGTTTAAGGTGCATTTTGACTGAAAGTCTGTCATATGGACTTTATGCTAACACTAATACACAGAAAGTGGCCCAATGCACGCAGCTTGACTGCACAGGGTGGGTGGTGGAACAGGCAGAGCTTGAAGGAGCTGTGGAGGTGCAGAGAGGAAGAACATGTTGGGCAACAGCAAAAAAAAAAAAAAAAATCATGACTGGCAGAAAAACAGAGACAGAAATACAAGAAGAAAGGGCTCGTTCTTGTGAGCCCTCTAGCCTAGGATGGCAACTTGTACTTTATCTGCTTGTAACTGAGCAGTGCGGGTGTGTAGGATTTGGGATGCACACTTTGCAAGTGAGTTTACTCAACACTATTCAACTCATTTTCTTCCCGCTTTTTGCTAGAGAACAAAACTCCCAAACTCCTAACCTCCTTTGCTGATCACTTCGGGTAGATCTGGCTGAGATGTGGGCAGAATAGTCTGAGGAGGGCTTCCTTCTTGAGGTGAGGTCTCTTGTGAAAGGCTTTGTCTTTTGTCCCTCCCTTTCTTTTTGCCTGGAATGTGGATATGATGCCTTGGGCCATAGTGGTCACTTTGTGAGTTGGGTTCTGAGGTCAGTGGCACAGGTTAGGGATAGAGCAGCTCTAGGGAAGGAAAGTGGTTCCTTAAACAGGGCCTCAGAGCAACAGCTCCACACTAACTCCTCTGGACTTGATGAGGTAAACACACTTCTGACCACTACTATTTTTGTTGTTTTTGTTGTTTTGTTTTGATACTCAGAGCTAAGTGAAAATGTCACCATGTTAAGAATAAAAATCACCAACAGAAAGACTAGGGCAAATCCCACATCTTTCCTTTCCTAATAGAGTAAGCACTTAAATTTCTATACCTCTGTTTTTTGCATCTATAGAGTAAAGATAGGACAGCACCATCATGGTGCAGATGGAGGACTTGACATGTGAACCTGTCACTGGAGGAGGACCCAGGGAGGGTCACCTCGACTCAGGATGGGTGGGGCTCTTGACAAACACTGTAAAAAAGAATTTAAGTGTGTGTCAGATAGAGGCACAGAGATTCATTTAGAAAAGCAAGGATTAGCAAGGGGAAGAGAGGTACAGTCCATCTTGAGAGTGAGAAGCCAACGCTCTGATCTAGGGTCCTAGTATTTAGAGAGGGACAGTGGCTAGGGGGCTGTGCTCAAGATGAGGTCATGTTGGAATCATGCAGTTTTGTGTCAGTTTTCTTTGTGGTCGCTCACTGTCCTTGACTCACACTGCTGTCTGTGGGTAAGGACCAAAGATGCTGGCTGAGTGGCTTGCAGGTTGCTAGCTTTGCATATGGTTCCTGGGCATTTCCTACATCCCAACAGCTCACGGGCACTTCTCCTTGAGGTCTCAGCATACTTTTTTTCTCTATATAGTCCCAGTTCCTATCTCAACCTCATTAGCACAATGTTGGCCACAGGTATACTTCATAAATACTAGTGATTATTTTTATGGAGGATATTGTCAGAGGAATGTAATCTTAATGGATAGTATAATTTGTCCTTTTTCATAAAAGCATCTGACTTAGTTTTGTCATATGTTCATGCAAACTATTTGCGAAGACTGTCCTTCCTTGTTCGGATGCAGCTTCTATTGCTGGGTCTAATGATCTGTAATCACATCCAACTGTGCTCCTTGCTGTCAGAGCAATGTCCTTTTTTTGATTTCTGAGGCTTTTGGAAGGGGCTTGATAAGAGTAAGAGAGTTCTCTAACCAAGGTCAACTCCACACTCTTTCCTCAGTGCAGTTTTCATCAGCCTCCCTTTGTCTGGTCATCTTCAACCATAATGTACGTTATAGCAGCCTGACTCATGCGGTACTGTTAGGCCTTAAGCAAAGCAGGCAGTTTAGGGGTGAAATCCCACATTAGGGAGGTTGAGGGAAGCTGTTGCCACTTCAAAGTTGTTCTTTTCATTTCAGCTAAAACTTTGGAAAAGTATGAGGGGCTGGGACTGTAGCTCTGTGGCAGAGTGCCTGCCTCGCACGTGTGAAGCACTGGGTTTGATCCTCAGCACCACCTAAAAATAAATAAATAAAGATATTATGTCCTTCTACATCTAAAAAAAATATTTAATTAAAAAAGCATGAGGAACCAGTCAAGGTTTCTGAGTTGCTCTGACTCATTCTTTTAGGCAAGCTTATAAGACTCAACAGAGTCTGCTGTGAAGTTCATGCCCACCATCTTTGCCTTTTAAACATGTGATCTATAACTTTAAACTGAGTATGCTGAAAAATATGCCCATCCCTACATGAATATGTATAGGCTCTGCTAATAAAATCTTCATGATTCCTTTGTTTAGGGAGAACTTTGCTTTGGAAATTACCCAGTGATCTCTTTACATGCGGCAGGTAATAAACCTCCACTCTTATCTCTTGGTGGTACTTTTTGGCTTTATGCTCACCAAATGTGAACCCATTGCTGTTGGTTACATTATTGCAAATACTCCCTTACTCATTTGTATTACTAATAGTTGAAATGTCTTCAATGGTCAGAACTATATAATTTACATCCTTACATTACTATAAGCTCAGAGAAAAAGCATGTTAGCTGCTTTTTCAATTTGTGTTCCACATTGGCAATGCTTTTCTGTGCCTAAGACTAAAAAGGTACAGGTAGATGTTCATTAAATATTTGCTGAGTGAATGGTAAGCTTTCAATAAGTTTTCTGCCAAGCTTTCAAGAAAATGTTTGTGCTGGTTAATTTTATATTTCAGCTTGATTACATTAGGGAATACACAGATAACTGGCAAAACTTTCTGGGTATCAGAGGCTGTTTTCTGAAGTGATTGTCATGAATGAGTAGAGAATAGAGTTCACCTCCTACAATGTGGGCAAGTGCCATCCAATTGGCTGAAGGCCTGGATGGAACAAAAAGGCAGAGAAAAGGTGAATATTCTCTTTTTCTCTCTCTCTGTCTTCTGGATTCACATTTCCAGATCAAGCTACCCATAAGTAACCAGAGCTTCTGGTTACTTATAGCAGAGCTGAAATTGCTGAAACACAGGCACTTATCAGGTGATTGGCAGAATTACAATTAAAGGTGAACTCTCTTATCTAACGGTAAACTGAATAGATTGGGGAAAAATGGTATACTGTAAATTGGGTGGGGACATGTGGGAAGGTCCTGATGAGACCTGGGATATTGAGCTCCTAAATTGTGATAAGTCTTTGTTCCAGTAGAAGTGGCCTCCTGTTATGGTTTGGATACAAGGCGTTCCCCAAAAGCTCCTGTGTTAATGCAGGAATATTCACAGGTAAAGTGATTATATCCGGAGAGCTGTACCGTAATCGGTCCATCCTAGTTTGAATGGATTACTGGGTGGTAACTCTAGGCAGGTGTGTTGTGGGCTGTAGGAGATGGTCACTGGGGCTTGTCCTGGAAGGGTTTATCTTCCCAGTAGCCTCGTCTCCTCTCTCTCTCCTTCCTGGCCACCGTGAATAGAGCAGTTCTCCTCTGCCATGATCTTCTACCTCACTTTGGATCCAGAGCAATAGAATTGCCAACCATGGACTGAAACTCTGAAACTGAGAGACAGAATACACTTTTCCTCTTCTAAGTTGTTCTTATCAGGCATTTTGATCATGGTGACAAAAAACTGACTAACACACCTCCATATCCCCAATTTTAGTAGCCTCCCCACGTGTGATGGTATCAATTTTTCCACCGGTATCAGGGGATTCACTGCTGCAGAAAGAGTCACGGACTCTCCTGAGGCATTTTGTGAAGCAAGGCAATATTGATTCTCCTCAGGACTCACCCTTACTACCCCTCTTTGCTTCTAGACTCAAGTTCCAGCAGGAACATATCGGTGAAATACAAAGTGTGATGTGTGAGCAAGTATGGTGTCCTCCAAAAGAACTACTTGAGTTTCCAAATTTTTATCAAAAGAAATCATGGGAATATTGTGGGAATGTATATTAAGGGTGTACAATAATTGTGTAAAGAATTGATATGGGGTGGCTTTTGTAGAGAGTCTGCATTTGATGTTTCAGATTGGGGAGTTAAAAAGGGCTCTATCTGACAAGATGTTTGGCTGGTTACTTGGAAGAGAGATCAACAGATGATCTATGAGAGCAACTTGGCAATGCTCAATCTCCCTCCATTTAACATCGAGGAAAGGATTCAAATATTTAGGGAGATTTGAATGCTAGATAATATAAATTCGTTGCTTAAATCCTACTCACCCACACCAGGAGGTCCAAAAGAGAGCCCCCAAATCTTTTTTTTTTTTTAATATGTTTTAGTTGTAGATGGACACCATGCCTTTATTTTTATTTATTTATTTTTATGTGGTGCTGAGGATCAAACCCAGTATCTTACCTGCACTAGGCGAACACTCTACTAGTGAGCCACAATCCCAGTCCCAGGGAGCCCCAGAATCTTTAAAGAGCTCTATGATTGCTCTTCTCTATAGGTTATTCATACTTAGCAGCGGGCAGAAGGCCTACCTTGGTTCTTCAACCTGTGAATTAAAGGTTATTATAGTGGGAGAAGTCAAGTGAAAGCAACTAGACCTGGCTCTAGAAAAATGGCAAATCAAAAGCGATATGGCATTATTGGGGGGATTTCAGAGATTAGTGTCACCGATAAGGACTTGAAAGATGCGGGGCTAGTGATTCCGATATT